AGAGGTGTGGCCTTGGATGCACCACCTCCACCATCCCCACAACTAGAGCACTTTGGGGTGGGCTGATGTTCCTTCTGAGAACGCTGTCGGGCTTCTCCATGCCAGTGGTAGATGTGAGGGGAACATTTAGTAAGTGGCAAGGAATTCCTAATTATACTTTCACTCCCGATCATAAAATTGTGCTGATTGGAACAAGGGTAGTATCATGCTGTGTCTCAGACTCTGGGACCAAGAACAGCGGAGGATAGCAGTTACCCACTTAATCATGCTGCTTCAGAAAATTGAGATCTACCCGCAGTATGCCTACATTTTGTTCATTATGTTTTATTTTTGTATCCCTTTGAACCTATGGAATCCTCTTTCCTTTTCATCTGTTTTTAAATTGTTTATTTTATTTTATTTATTTATTCACTTATTTTAATTTGACCAGAGGGAGATACAGAGAGAGAGAGAGAGAGAGAGAGAGAGAGAAATGAGAAAGCAAGGCACCAGGCCCGGGACTTGAACCCAGGTCCGGGACTTGAACTGTGGTCGGCCACGTGGGAGTGTTCAGCTCCTTAACCACCAGGCCACCTGCTGGTCCCACTTTTCATTCTTTTGTATTTCCTTTTTCTTATTTTGTTGTTGTTGTTGTTCTGGAACTACTTCAAACTTCAGGAGTTATCCCCACCCCAGCCTATACAAAATTTTATAAATGTGTATTATTTCATATTCCCTATCTTCTCTTTATACCTATTTTCTTTTTAGGCTGAAGGCTGATTCTTTTTGACCTCCTTGCCCACAAATCCTACAGTTATTTTAGTGAAGAGTCTCTTGTAGGGGTAGTTCGCAGTGTGTGGTTTTTTGTTTTGTTTTGTTTTTAGGAGAGGAAGTGATTGACAAGGGTGAGACTTTTCTTTTAGATTTCTAAATCTGTTTATCGTAAATTAATTATTAAGGACTTTTGAAAACAAGTTATCCTTAAGAAAGATAAATTGGAAAAAAGAGGGAAATGGAAAAGAAAATTGCGATGCCTGCTCTCTCAAAGCAGACCTGGAGAGGGCAAGTGTGTTTGCCGGGCCAGGCTGTAAACAGCGTGGTGAGCATGCACAAAGGCCTGCTCTTCAGGCAACCAGCGAGGAAGTGTGGGGAGGCAACGTGGCCTTTTGTTCCTGGCTAGGTTCCTAGTGAACCGACATCCTCTTTCTTATGTAGTTCTCCTCGGTGGTTCTTGTTAGGCCCCTCATGAGCTTGAATAAAGTGGCTTGCCTCCTCTGAGCTGGCGTTGCAGGTTAGGAGGAGAAAGGGCAGGCCAGGGGCTCTTATCCCGAGTGGAGACCAGATCTTTCAACTTTTCCCTCCAGACCACAGCTGAGTGCCGAGAGCCTTAGAACACCGTCCTTCATGGGGTTAATGCTGCGAAAATGCTTCTTGCCAGAGGGTCTTCTAAGTCTATAGACATCACAGCCGTCCAAAGCTCACAAAGCTCAGATCTCAGCAAGGCCGCTTCCTGCTGTCGGCTGGGATACATTAGGTCACTCCGCAGATTAAAAGAGGAATAATTATGCGAATTCCAGTGCCAAGAATAAGTGCCCAACTTGTGGGAGACCTTGGTGGGAGAAGGGGGTGGTGAGAGAAGGGGCGGCGTGACTCCAGCTCCCTCTTTGTGCTCAAGATGGCCACAGTCATGGTCACGGTTAAATAGCTGTCTGTGAGGAAAGTCTTTTCTTCCAGTAGGAAAACAGGCCAGTCTGCTCTGAATTAGCCAGCTCACAAAGTCCTGAAAGGGACTTACGAGAACAATGGCAGGCTGTGCATTCCGTGAGATTTTAACAAGTTATATGAACCAAATAATGGCCCGACTGGCTGGCTCTGCAGGCTTTTGCCTGAGTGTGCACATCCACAGAGCCCAGCGCCATCCCCTGTGGGACCGGAGATCAAACGCTGCCAGTGAGAATGTGAAACAGCCTGCCTCGCTCTGGGGCCGGCATTCAGGGGAACCAAAGGGAGCTCCCGTCCAACTTCTCCCACTCCGCCCCAAAGACATTCTCTGCAAATATTCTTGGGAGGTTTACTGTTACTACAATTTTTAACAATTGCTTAAGTAGGGTAAGAAGACAGAATAGGAATAGAGAAAGTCCCTCAGCCACTGGGATCTTACCCTTCAGGTCTGTGAAAACGTGGCCGCGAAACGTTATCAGGAAAACCTACGTCTGTATAGAAGTTGCTACGTGCATGTTGATGGTGATGTCAGTCGTACCTGACAAAAACTGGTGACAACGCAGATGTCCTTCAGCTGCTGAACACACTGTCGAACACCCATACGATGACATTCCATTCAGCTATAGAAAGGGACGGCCCAGGCCCAGCCGGGTGGCGCAGGCCATGGCGTGCCAAACTGCAACGCTAGAAAACACATGGCTGACCGTGGATGTGGATCCCAAGTCAACCTGCAATAAGCTGGTGCACACACGCATCCTCGTGCACCCAGGATCCTGGCAGGCTGGAGGGCTGAGGTGGGGACTGCAGTGTGGCCGGCCCTGTCGAAGGTACCTCTTTCCCGTGCTCACCGGCACACACGTGCACATGCACACATTCTCTCTCAGGAATTAAAGTAACAAAAGAACAGACGACACAAAAACGCAGACGAATCTTACCTACATTAGACAGTGAAAGTACAGTTTTAGAAGCGACATACTCTATAATTACATTTGTATGACATTCCCAGAAAGACAAAACTTTGACAGAAAGCTTCTCAGTGGTTAAAAGGGGTAGGGGAAGCGGTCGATTGCACAGGGAACTTTTGGGGATGATAAAATTAGAAATACTTGATTGCGGTGGTAGTTACCCAGTGGTGGTTTGTCAAAGCTCACAAAGTTGAACTAAACAGGGTGACTCTTACTGAAGGCAAATTCTGCTCAATGAACCTGACTTTTAAAAGAAAGCTAAAACCTTACTTTAACCTTAGTGCTGTCACCTCAGTAGGGAAATGCTCAGCTTTGAAATGGCCGACTGCATCGATGCCAGACCTTTCACCCAATGGAGAGCGTCGAGTTTGGGGATTTCCTCGCTGGTGTGACTCTTCAGTAGTATATCTGAGCATATCCCACATGTTCATAATTGTCCAGTCAGGTCAGACTAGGTCGGAGGAAAGTTATCAGAGAGTCTAGCCCGAGTTAGTGACAGTGGGGATGCGCAGTCAGGCCAGGTGCGGGAGGCCCTGTAGGTCCGTTTGAGGCCATGTGGTGGCACGGTGATGAAACTCGAAGCCCCGTGAGGCAGACCCAGGTGGGAAGGTGGCTGGTTTGTGTTCAGAGGCCTCTGTATGCCTGACAGATGTATGCTCATGATCCAGATTGGTGGAGGCTGGGTGTGGATCGTGGCAACAGGACTCTATCAGGGGTGCTGTATCTCTGTCTCCCCCTTCTTTTTGTCTTTCTAACTCATGGAACAAATACATAAACTTTCACAAAAAGAAATTAAGACCGATTTTATTAGGTAAGCTAACAGATCATGGCAGGGCTGAAGTGTAGCAGATGAGGAAGAGAAAGGCAGGGCGATTCCAGAGTTCACACTAGTGCCTGGCATTCTGCCAGAAGAGGGTAACTGTTGGGGGGGGAGAGGAGATTTCCACTTGGATACCTGTTACTACAATCACATTAAAATAATTCAGGAGCATTCGGGAATGTCTTTAGACCAAGGAGGGCAGCAAACTAATCTGGCCCACTGCCCTTTCGTGTGTGTGGCCTGCAAGCTAAAAATACAAGCTAACCATTTCTTTTTTACATGGTTTTACTAAAGCAAAAGAAGAGTGGCAAGATTATATAAAATTCAGATTTTGATGTGCATAAATAAAGTCATCCTGGAACCCAGCCATGCCCATTTCTTTTACATATTGCCAATTGCTGATATTGCACAGTGGGGATTGAGCAAGACAGAGTGGTTCTGAGTCTGGCCCCTAAAGCCTAACAGAACCCTTTACAGAAGGGGTTTGTTGACCCTGCACTAGACATTTGCACCTACACTTCCTGTTTTGCCTCCCTGATAATGCGTAGCAGGCTTTCAAGAAAAAAGTACAGTCTTTGGCTGGCCTTATAGCATAGCTGTTAAAGGCCAGGCATGGGGAACTGGATCCCACATGGTCAGTCATGGTTCAAATCCCATTGGTAACCATGCCCCATTGGGGGGTTCTCACTCCCTCTTGCGCTCTCTCTCCCTCCCTCTCTTCTCTCTCTGGCGCATGCCCTTGGCAGTAAAGAAGTTTGTTTGTTTTTTTTTAATTTAAAAAAGCACTGGCCTTTCATGATGGTGCTTCTGATATAATCTTATATCACTAACATCGTCTTTATCTTGCCTGATGACACAGCAGTGAGTCCTTGTGCAAGGTTTGTGATCTGGCACAATCAGAGACCCTGCTGTTGCAACACTGCAGGATCGGAATGTCCCAAATGCACCTTGCGGGCTAGGCCTGTCAGCTCTGAGCAGCATGCCTCTGCTGGGCTCGGCTGTTCCGGCCTCGTCGCCTCTGCTGGATAAACGGGTGTTGGGGAAATCATGGGATTTGAACCCCTCCTGATTTTTTTTTTTTTTTTT